AATCAGATTCCTTTTCATCTGTAGTACATGCTGATGTTTAATAATTCTCACAACACAAAATATTTTTGATATGATATTACCAATATCATTTATAGATAGTAAACTATCATTATATATATATATATATATATAATACCACTCATTTGCTTGAAGGTAGCAAACCAATGCTTGTGTGGACACATATAAAATGTAGCATGAAAATCAAGAATTTAAGAATTCTTTATATAATCTGAACTCACAGATAAAAATTTCCCAGTAATATTGTTATTGTTATTATTATAATTATTTACATAAGTTACTTAGCATAATTCTCTACTTTATTTTCCTTTTTATCTTTCAACTTAAGACATTATCTCCAAAAGTGACTATGCTTCTCGCACTCAAAACAGTTTGCCTTCTTAGCTCTAAATTTTGATGTGTTTTTTTGTTTATGCTCTTCCTTTGTTTACCACTCTCATATTTGTTCTATATGTTTAAAAGTTTTTTTTGACTCTTTTGATTCTAGTGCGTTACTAATATGATTTAGTGAAATGCTATCATTTCTGTATAATAGAGTATCAATAAAAGTATCAAAAAGATGATAATGAACATAATACAATTAATGTGTAACGGCTCTGGAAATCCAAAAGAAAAAATATATAATAATTTAAGTGCGGAAGTGAAATAAAAGGTTAAGATTTATATTCCTTACACAATAACTTAAAAGTACTGAACATCATTACGGAATTAATACTTTGAAATAAACAAGAGAAATAAGGAAACAAATGAAAAAAAGAAAATATCTAGCATCTAGTCGCAATCTTCTTGCGGATCGGGCTCTGAAATCAGATACTCTTGATATGAAATGGTTAAATAAAGGATGAACTATACTAACCCGGTAAAGATATCACACTATATCACCGGTACAGAAGCAAATGCTGGTATAAAATCAAAACAACTAATGGAGCACTAAATTTAGCAAATTCATTTATCAATCATAAAATCATTTACCGTTCACTTATCATAGTAGAATTTATGAAAACAACCTATAGAGACAATAATACCATACAGATCATAACTTCATGAACAATCAGCAACATAGAACATATCATAAATTCATATCCATTAATAATAGATCAAATCATAACCGTTTCTCTTTTCATCAGCCTACTAGTATCCATAGGGGTTTATAGGGATGTCCTCGCTACACGTGAACTCTTTCCCTTAACAATCTCAATTACAGGGCCGTCCCCATACCCCGTCCAGTATGAGCGCAAAAATATTAAACTTCAATACCCTGTCCGGTATGAGAGTGAAGCGGGTTATCCCCATACCCCATCCAGTATGAACACCAAATTACTAAGTCTCCATACCTCGTCCAGTATGAGACAACGTTCACAGTAGGGTTCCCTATGTACCCGGTCTGTCCACCATCTCTCAGGATATCTAATAAGGCTGACGTTCTATCTGTTTATTTAATCACACCACTTTTCTGTTTTCCTTTAGTCTCTATTACCGAATCAAACATAATCACATAAACAAATAAACATACATCAGGTAATGCAATCATGTCTCAAATCCCAAATAGTAGTCAGGTAAGGAAGCCATACATGCATTTAAAGTATAAAATAGATAAATCAAATACTATCATGCTTTTAGATTGTAAAATAAATCAACAGAGAAAAATGTTAGGTTCAAGCTCTATTAGCAATCTGTAATTAATTATGCACATCTATTTAATTTATACAAAATATTGTATTATTATTTATTTAAACTTCAATTCTATGATAAGGAATAAGGTGAGGGATCCTTACCCGATTTAATGCCGAAGAGCTAAACGGTTTACTGCGCATACGGGCGGTCCCTAAGTTTTCTGAATTGTTTATATGGGAATTAAAACGCACTTATAGTACCTAAAAATATTCTAAATAAACCCAAAATCAGTTCCGGGGCCCACTAAGCCAATTTTAGAAATCCGACACGGCGGCTCCGCTGTGCTTCGGCGACGGTGCCACTGCCCGCAGCGGTGGTCCGCATTGGGTCGACCGTTTTCGGTCGAATTCGGCCTATTCTGCATCGATTCCTGCAAGCAGAAACGTTAAAGGGCCTCGGTTGACCGAAAAATACGAAAAACTGAAACTTACCGGTGGCAGGGCTCTCCGGCGCGGCGGCTCCTCCAGCTCACGTTGCGGTTGGGTGTTTTGCTTCCATTAACTTGTAGAGAAGCAAACGGTGATCACAACGGTGAAAAAATTACGCGAAACAAAAATTGGGAAGGGCCTCATCGGAGGCGATTTGTGAAATTCCCCGCGACGGCGCCGCGAGCTTTGCCGGTGTTTTTCGGCCAATTGGCTAATCTTTTCACTTCGATTTGATCATGGGTGAGCTTAAAATTGAATTTCATGCAAAAGGGAAAGTTTTTACCTTTTTTGGCGAGTGGAAAGGGTTTTAATGCGGCAGCGGGTGGTGACGGTCAGCTCCTTGGCGGCTGGGTCATTTTATCCGATGAGGGGTTCTGGCGGCTAGGGTTAGGGTTTGGTGCAGATGGGGGTTATTTATATCCATCCGCTTTTGATATGAGCCATCCATTGTATTTGATCTAGACCGTTCGATCGCGATTAAATAGGGAGTAAATC